TTGTATCCGCTGTCATCAGGTGCCTCAGATGCGTCGTCGTTGTCGCCAGCCTCCTCAATGTATCCGCTGTCATCAGGTGCCTCAGATGCGTCGTCGTTGTCGCCAGCCTCCTCCATGTATCCGCCTTCATCAGGTGCCTCAAAACCCTCGTCTTTGTCAAGTTCCTCTGTCCATTCTTCTTCGTCTGCTTCCTTGGGTCCTAAATATACTACGACCTACACCACGACCGAAACCGATCACTCCATTGTCACTAAAACTATTGTTGTATGTGTGACAACCGACGCGACCGGCTGTGTGACGACCGTCACATCAACCGTACTGCACTGTCCAACCACTGATTGTGAACCAACAGAGCTTCCAAACCCCACAATTACAGGAGAGACCCCAGTTCCAACTGCCTCTTGCAATGAAGGAGGATCTTGCACCCCAGCCGTGGAAACTACTTCAAACATTGCTCCTGTCCCAAGTGGAGCCGCTAAAGTGAGCTACACAACTGAGACTCTCATCATTACTACTACTATTTCTAAAGGCCCAGCTTCATATGCTACTTCCACTTTGACTGTCACTCGGACTGTGAGTATCGATTGTGATACTTGTGAAACTGGTGAAGGATCAAATCCTACAGTTGCTCCCGCGACAGATGCCCCGGGGCACGTTCTGGGCAGCACCACCAGTTCTGGTACTATGACTGCAACCCTGATCTCTTCTATTTCGCCATTTGAGGGCGGGGCAGGGTCGAGATCCGTGGTTCTGGGTATGTTCGTGTTATCTTTGTTAGCCTTCCTTCTCTAGGCTGTTTTCTATGGCTGTGTTGATTTCTGTCGGCACGCTTTATTTTCGAGATGGTTCACTCTGAAGCTCCAAGATTCTCTTTGGGCTGTCTTCCTGGTGTCTATCAATATCAATCACTTCTATCTTTCGCAAGCTTTTAAGCTTAACTTTCGAATAAACGCTGTTTATAAACACAGAGTTACCCTGTTGGAAGCTCTGACGATATAATTAAAACCTGAAAACCGGTATAGATGCACGATGAAAGCCATGATTTACTGCTGGAAACAAAAAAGCCCATTTCTGTACTGTTCGCTTTTGGTTCTGGACGTAAGGCTCATCACTGTTTGTCTCAAAGTATGAACTCAAGCTATGGTTTGATTGAGCATGTATGTCTGCGTGCATGTATTGATATACTTCTATATAATTGTTTAAATTGGAAGAAACAGATACTATTCAAAAGAGCAGAAGGTTTTATTGAATGAGGGAAGATCTTCATGGACATCCCTTTTTTTAGGTGAGTGTGTATGCGTTGGAAATAGTATATCGCAGTTTTTAAAGAATGCTTAAAGGCTCGCCAAACTCACATACGAAGGAGCACCAAGTCTAGACATCATACATCAGATTTCCATACTGTTTGCAACTCTTGATGAGTTGGATGGAAGTAATTACCTTTTGAAACTTTTAAAGTGACAAAAACACTGCAAATTCTGATTAAGGCCCCTGCCCCCTGTCCAAATTTTGCACTTCTTTTGAGTGCCTTATCAATACGCTTACGTTAGTGGTTCAATTGTGTCAACCCTGAAGAGTTCAGACGCTACTTCCTTGCTGTAATATGGAAAACATGCACGAAAATTTAACTTTGAAATATTTAAGCTACCCACTTTAAATTGCACAGTATACCACCCCGAATTTTGTAATCTATGATCTTGCCATGATAATAGGACGGATCTGAAGACGCTGTGCAAAATCGCTTATCGTATGACACGTGACTTGATGGGTGCGGCTCATGGACTTGCATTTACCAGCGGGCCCAAAAAGCTTCAAGGACAACCCAATTTTATGATTTCGTTTATTTGATAATTATCTTAATCTTCTTATGATAATTTTTTAGCTTCTAGTCTCTTCTATCTTATTGATCTAGACAAAATTGATTTTTGCAGCGGTTTTTGATATTTTAAGAATTAGTCAAATGCCACACAAGAAATGCGAAAACAACTACATGCCTCACCTTTTAAAAGTAACTACATACATAGAAGAAGCCTGTAGAAAGAGTTAAGAATTGACTTTATGTCAAAAGGTGAAATTTGACTTTGGTCTTTGCGAAGCAATTCCGCCACAGTTCCGATTAGCTTTGCAAAGTTTTGGCTCATTGAATGCGGGCTACTCCACAGACTCAATTTTGGTTTCAATGAGCAAAAGCGTTTTTGTGAGCGTCTGAAAGTCATTGATACTCTTGTTCCATGAAAGACTTGACCAACAAAAATGCGTCTGATACTTGAGAATGAGTCATATGCGAAGTAGTGATCCCCGGTCTCCAACCAAGATTTTCATGTATTTTCTAGTCAGATTCAGCGAATGAGTTTTGATAAGAAATAATCACAAGCCTCCAAGAATAGTTTAGTTATGAGTTGACCTCTCACCAAGGAAGAATTGAATTACACAAAGCTTAGAGCTGCCGTATTCTTATAACATGGGAGCCGTAGTTGTTTCTTAGCGAAAGACTCTTTTGCGTAAGATTTCGATCTATAAGTCGATTTTTAAAGTGAAGACTACGAAAACTTTGAAACAGTATCAGAAAACAGTCTGAATATCTGTACTTCTATTTTCTCCTTCAAAGTATGGCGCCAGTTCCTCTAGGCTGATTATTTAGCGAAGAAAAAGACCACAACAGCTTCGAGAGAACCTGCTGTAAGCATCAGCTTAATGAGTATGTAGCCCAGGAAACACACACTCTCTTTAGTTTACCAGTTCGAAGGTTTGGATTTCTGCAGATATCTTTCTATATAAAAGACCCCTCGATCAAGCTCATATTGCACACTGCATGCTTGCTGCTAAATTTCGTCTTTATGTTAATTTTTTAAACAGAGAAGGTAATTTTGATGGCTTCAATTATTGGTATTTTTGAAATATTTAGTGTAATGTCTGAGAGTGTTCCGCAAAAGAAACCATTATCAATGACAAGGATGATCATCAAATGGCATGTAGGTGCCTGAAATCTGTGGATATATTTCCGTAAGTTGAAGAATTTCCTCATGAGCCATGTGCAGATAATGAGCATTTTTAATTTTAAAAATGGGGAATGATTTAAAAATTATCAACTTCGGTTTAGCTTTGCTTCTGCAGAGACTAAACGATGAAGCCATCACACATATAAAGCAGACTCGTTCAAAGCTGATGAATATTGGATAGACTTATTACAAAGTGGTGAAGTTTTAATTCTTAAGGCTGCCAAGTAGCTGTATATCAGGAAATAGTTCACAAAAGGTCTGCGAAATTGCACTGAAAATCGCAAGAAGCGGAAGTCTACTTCGAAAACACACATTATGAGATATGGAATTACCAGTTAAACTAGCTGGTTGTTATATGACCTATTTTTAACAACATCTTTTTATTTGATGAAGATCATTCTTCGAGTATGGTTGTGACCGTGACTCCCCAGACAGTGAGTTAGAAGCTTGTCAATTTTCCTCCCCAAGTGTTTCATACAAGTCACGGGAGGCTGAGATTAATTAGGCAACAGAGTTTCGAAAGTTTTTCTTAGTTTTGTCGGTATATCAAAAGCTTGCAGTAATAAATCAAAT